TCGGACTTCCCTGGCTTGGGGTGACCTTGAGAGTTTTGAGGGGTACTGGTCAGGTACTGCGTATTGGAATTTGCCTCACGTTTTTCTCATGATCCAATGGGACCATGGGTTTCAAGAGCACAGAGGTAACGTGCCATTTTCATCATATCTCGTGTCAAGGGGACATACCATCAGCATGATGTATGCCTGTCCATATGGACCTTGATCACCCGGCTTCTCCACTGGGAAGTGACTCTCCCTTCCCCTCAATTTCCAAACCACCCTCTGGGAAGGCAGGCGCCGTATGCAGCCCACACCCAGGGGGTGGGAGTTATGCCCCTCACAGCAGGTGAAGTATCGACGTAAATTTCTGGAATTCTTCTGCGTGGGAGATTTGTCTCCTCTCCCTCATTTACTAATTTATCCCATCACTTATTTATAATGGACTCATGGATATTTGTTTTACCTTTGGGTTATAGTTCAATAATACTTTATTTTCCTGCTCAAGTTGTCCCGCCTTTGCCTGTTGGGACCTCTGCCATGTGGCTCCTGTGTCCCTTTGACATGACCCATCCGTTTTTTGGGTTTTTTTTTTAGCACTTCCTTACTCTCTGACACTACAAGATGCTCCAGGCCCATCTTGTGTATTTCCTGCTCCAGTCCTAGAATCAGCCATTTCTCTAAGAATCCCTGGTTCCTTTTGTTGTAGAATGATATTAGAAACCAAGGTCTGGGCACTTGGTATGCCCTATAATTTTTAATATGGTGGTTAATGAAAGCTTGTCTGAGGAAGTAGTAGGTGAGTGAAGACCTGAAGAAGGCGAGGAGCAAACCATGGAGCTATTGGGGGGAAGGGAGCATTACAGGAAGAGGAACTGCACGTGCAAAGGCCCTGAGGCAGGCATGTGTGTTGTGTATGCAAAGAACAAGGAGACCAGTGTGACTGGAGCCGAATGTGTCCTGGGAGGTGGGGGGAGGGGATGCAGATGGTACAGGGGCCGTCATAAAGGACTGTGGCTTTTCCTCAGATTGACAGGGGAGCAGACAAGTGATGTGATCTAACTTATTGTTTAATAAAATCACTCTGGCTGCTGTGCTGGGAATAGAATGAAAGGGGCGACCGCAGAGGCTACTGTAAGAATCCACTGAGCAATGATGTTGGTTAGATCAGGTCGTAGGCAGGAAGTGGGGCGAAGGCTTCAGATCCCAGGGCAGAGCTGACAGCACTTCCTGACGTACTGGATGCTGGGCGCGAGCTAGAACGATGAGGCTAAGGTTTTGCCAGATCATCGGGAAGGAGCAGCTGTGAGTGGCCACGTTGGGGGACGCCCAGGGGAGGGGCAGTTTGGGGGGTCTCAAAAGCTCCCTGTTGGACATGCCTTTGAGACGCCCGTCATTCGTCCAGCCTGGCCCTCAGGGGGAGGGGGGCTGGAGCTACAGAATGAGCCACGGCTGGCCGGGGCGAGGACCAGCTCTCCGGCCTCCAGCCCAGCCCTCGTCCAGCACGCGCGGCTGTGCCGGCTGATGCCACAGCCTGAGCTGGACCCAAGACCACGGAGCCAGCCCTCAACCATGGGGGCACGAGGGGAGGAAGGAGGCTTTGAGAAAGGCCGGCCCCAGCTCCTGGAGACCGCTTGGTCAGCTCCCAAAGGACGCCGGGCTTGCTTTAGCCCAGGCTTGACCACACACATCTGGGGCTCAGGGCCTGGAGGTGCCCCAAGTGGGGGCTGGGCTTTCTCTCCAGGGTGGGACTCGGGGGCCACAGCTACTTTTTCCTCAGCTCCCAGCCTCTGGACCCCTGGCCACAGTCATTGGGACTGCTGAGTGAATGAAGGACATGTTCCTGAGGGCAGCATCTCTGGCCTGTGGGAGGTGACAGCATGAGGTCACTGGACTCCTGAAACAGGAGGGATGGAGAAGGGGGAGAAGGGGGGAAGGGAGGAGAGGTGAGGGGATAGGAGCTAAATGGAAGGAGGAGGCAGGGAGGGTCCTAGACATGAGGGGAGAAAGAGAGGGGAGGAGGGGAGGGGCGGCTGGCAGCCCTGGGTCCATGTGGGGATCCGACAAGGTGGTGAACGGATCCATCAGCAGCAGCCCTCCCTGCCTCTCCCCACATCTCACACCCACGTCTACCCATCAGCAAGTGCTCAGGCCCCACCCTCACGATGGACACACACACCCTGTCACCACTGACTGCCTCCACCCTGGCTCCTCCCGCTTTGCCCCCACAGGCTGTTCTCGCAGAGCAGCCAGAGTGATCCTTCTAAAACAAAGCCAAGAGCAGGCCATCCCTTCCCAGATCCCAGGCTTCCAGCCCTAGCATGGAAAGGCCTCCTCTTGGCCCCGCTCAGCCTTCCCTCCACTCTCCAGTCCTCACTCCAGTCCTTGCACACTGGCCTCCTGCTGCTCCTCTGACACACCAAGCACATGCCTGCCTCAGGGCCGTGGCACTTGCTATGCCCTCCACCTGGACCACTTTCCCCCAGCTATCTCGGTGCCTAATTCCTTCATTTTATTCAGGACTCACCTCTTCAAAGAGGCCTTCCCTGACCACCCTCTCTGAAACAGACTCCCCTCCACCACCGTCGCTCACTACTTGCTTCCCAGCTTAGTTTTTCTTAAGACTTATCACTACTTTATATATATTTATTTACGTCTTCCCCGCTAGGTCTGTTTTGCCCACCAGTGTATCCCCAGTTCCTGGAACAACCCCCAGACAGGTAGGTGCTCCATAAATTTTATTTGTCAAATAAATGAGTGACCATCCCCACCTCCTGGAACCCCCTAGGACCAGCTCAGCCTGTCCTCCTCAGGTCCAACCACCCAGAAGCTCTTCTTAGACCCATGCAGAGCCTGCTGGGGACGGGAAGGAAATTCACCAAGGCTTCAGCAGAGCCCCTCACCCCTCCTGCGACTCCGCCATACCTCACGCCTTCCTGACGCTCCTCCTCCCCCACCCCAGGCCAGCCAGGCTCCAGATTCTTCCAGGACACCTCCTTCGGCCCCCTCTTCTCCGCCACAGGCTACCCCTTATCAACCCAAGGCCTCCGAAGGTCTCTGGCCTTCGCTCTTGTCTCACCACAAGCTAGTTGCCCCAGGGATCCAGAGGGATCTTGCTGACAAGTACATCTGACCTGCTCCCTCCCCTGCCTAAACCCCTTCAGTGGTCCTCAGGGTAAAGTCCAAAGTCCAGATGGGTCTGCCTCTGGCCCCAGCCTTGCCAGCCTCACCTCTCAGGCGTTCCTTCCTCCGTGAGCTCCTGTCAGATCATTGAGTCCTAACACCACCCTCCCCCCACCCCCAACCCCGACTGCCCCTTCTTGGGTGATTGCAGTTAACAGTGTCATTCCATTGTCATTGTCTGTTCCCGCTCTCAGTTCTCGGAGTTGGCCTGGCTGGACGGCAGAGCCTGCTGCCCTGTTCAGATGTGCATCGGGAACGGCTGCAGGGGCCTGAGATGTGGCCGGTGGAGATCGTGGGCAGTGCTGAGGCCCCCGGTCTAGCCCCCAGTGCCACCGCTGCTGGCCTGGCCGCAGACCCCACGAGGGAGGCCTTGGGTCCCACCTCTCATCCAGGGCCTGACACAAAAGAGGCCCTTAGGAGACACCCATTGACTGTTTGGTTGAATGGCTGACTCTTAAGTAGTTTTTTTCTTTTCTACATTTCTGTATTTTCCAGTTTTTAAAAATAACGTGCATCTCTCATTTTTTTAGAATGAAAAAGAAAAACTTACTTTGACAAGTCATTCTTATTAAAACATTGATGAAAAAGCAACACTTCCTGTATCTTCCAAAGTGGAACAGATGCACACCCCGGGCCCCGCAAGGCCTCTCGCAGGTACGAACCCAACACGCGTCCACATATCCACCATGGACGGGAGCTAGAATGTTCACAGCAGCACAGTTCCCGACAGCCAGGAACCGGAACCCACCCAAAGGTCCATTGACGGTAGAATGGGTGGAAATGTTACGATAGAGGCACACGGTGGCAGTGAGCCCCGCCTATGGGTGAATCGCACGAACACAGCATTGGGTAAAAGAAACCAGACACCAACGAGCTGTAGTGTCCGGCTCCATTTACGTCCAGCCTGGAAGCCGGCTGAGAGAGCCCGTAGGCTGAGGAGTCAGGAGGGTGGTGAACTCTGCTGTCGTGAGGGGCTCTGGGTGCTGGCGAGGTGCTGTTTCTCGACCTGGGTGCTGGTTCCGTTGCCATGCTCAGCTCGTGCAGATTCACCCAGCCATACACATCTGATTTATGCAATTTTCTCTATGTATATTTAACTCCAGCAAAAAAGTTAAGGAAAAAAAAAAGCATCCTGGAGCAGGTTAAATGCACCTCCTTTTCTGTCCAAAGGGAGGTGAGCACAGGTGCCCGGCTTCCCCTGTGTGCCTGCCCCTCCCCTGTGCCACCGGAGTCCCTCCTAGTCTCTGAGACTCGTGAAGCCTCAGGCTTGGGGAGGCTGCCTCCATCGAGCCTAGGGGATGTGGATCTGTGGGGTCAATCCCACCACTACAGTTTAGGCCCTGGAAGCGGGGCTCTGGGGCTGAATGCTGTCCCTCCCCGGCTGGGTTACTTGGGACCACCCTGCCACCAGCTGCGTCCAGGGCTGGGGTCTGGGGGCGGGGGCAGGCTTGGTGTAGGAGGTCAGCGTGCAGAGGCACAGGCTGCCTGGTCCCTGGGTTGTGTCCTGACAGCTCTGTGCAGCCCCAGCCGGTGGGGTGGGTGGGCTGGCAGATGGGGCTATCCACAGTTCAGTGCCTCCTCACCCTGCCCCCCAGTGGAGGCCAGGGAGCAGGGGCACCTGCTTCTCCGCCAGTCCTGGGTGAGGAAACCCCGGGGGCCTCCTCTGACCTTGCGCTTCGCTCCTAAAGGTCACTGCACGGTGCTCTAGGGGGTCAGGTTCCTGCAGTTGGGGACCGGGGGAAGGCAGTAATCAATCTGGGCCCCGCCAGGCCAGGGGCGCCGATCCAGAGCAGCCCTCCTGTGCCCGCTGCCCGGCAGGGTTATTTATAACCGCGGGTCGCCTTACCTCCTGACCTTTAGCATCTCCTCGCCGCCCACTGCGAACAAACAGTCCTCTGTGTGCACCCTGGGCAGGCCTCACTGCAGCCCTGCAGGAAGCAGGATGCTGACCCGGAGTCGGCGCCCCCTCGCTCCCTAGGGTGGACCCAGCCACGTGTGAGTTGGGGGGAGGTGGGTGCGGTGGGAGAAAGGTGCGAGAAAGACTTAGAACTACTCTTGTTCCCTTGGTTCCCAGGTTGAAAATGTTGGTCTATTCTGGGCGGCAGTTTTATTTACAATGTGGGGCTCCCCAGCCTGGGTCTGCCCAAAGGGGTGCCCTCTTCAAAGCCAGCAGGAAGGACGCAGCACTGGTGACTGGACACCCCCTCCCCCCGCACAGGCGTGGTCCCTGGAATCACACAGGACAACTGTGCTCTCCCCAGCAGCAGCCCTGCCTTCTTAGATGGCAGCTGAAGCTCAGAGAGGGAAGCGACTGGTCCAACGTCACACAGCCACCCATGGCAGATTCCCCAGCTCCTGGCTGATGGGAAGCAGCTGGATCAGAACTCCTGATTATGACCTGGAGGAGCCACTGTAAAAGGAGGCTGGGGATAGGGAGATGGCCCATTCATTCAACACGTTTTTGTTGGTCACTTACTGGGCGCCAGGCACCATTCCAGGCAGAAATCCTCACCCTTGTGGGGCTGATAGTCTGGGGACCTGGAGGGACCTGGAGCCTGCGGTCCCTTGATGGAGTCCCATTCCAGGCAGCTGCTGAGGGTCTTGAGTCCCAGAGAGGGAGACTGAGTCAGGGAGCGAGGGCTGGGCAGAGGGAGGGTGGGTGTGGGCCTGCAGCCTTGGGCTGAGTATTTGGTGCCGCCGGCCAGCCAAAGCCAAGTGAGTGTCAACATCCCAAGGCCACGAGGGCTTTGTCTCAACAGTGGGCGCCCTCCCTGCACGCCTTCAGATGACCTTGCACCCAGAGCGGAGGGTGAAAGTCCCACACAGTGCCCAATCTTGGCAGTCATCCTGGAGGAAGCCATGGACTGGGCCCAGCCAAGGGGCTGGTTCTGCCCAGTATGGGAGGAACTGAGTCAGGAGGTTTGAGGAGGGCAGCCGTTAGGGAGGAGCGGGCCTGGATGCTTCCTTCCTTTTTGGCCACGCTCTCAGACACTTTGAAGCACTTGGAAAACTTTGGCTGTGTGACTTGCCCATCCCCTTGCCCTCTCTGGGCCACAGTTCCCACAAATAAAAGTGAAGGGGTCAGCTGGGATGAGCAGTTTCAGCTCTGGCTGCCTGGGGTTCTTGTCTAGGGACTCAGAGACCCTCCCACTCGAGTCTGGCTCAGCCGTGAGTGTTCCCCTTGGCCCAGTGAAGGCCAAGGGCACAGGCCGGGGGTGGAGTCAGGAGTTGCCGCAGCTGTGGGTAGCTGGGTGGCCAACAACCCCTTTCAGTGTGTGAGGAAGTGCCGAGTACACTTATGTGTGCCTGTGTGAGCATGTAGGACGTGCTGTAGCCACGTGTGTGTAGGAGTGTGCCTTTGTGGGTAGGCGGTTGTATAAAACATTATGTACACGGGAAGGAGTGTGTGTCTTGGTGTGTGTTTATGTGGGGATCAAGAGGACAGTGTGTGTACAAGTGTGTCTGTGGCGTCACACATGTGTAGGTTTCAGGTATGTATATGTATGGTGTGCGCGCGCGTGTGTGTGCGCGCGCGCGTGTTGGAGGAGTGTCTTCAGGGCCGGGGCTGACTTGAGCCTGGGAGTGAAAGCCTGGAGGGACCCCTCCCTCACTCCGCAGACCCCTCTGACCACATGGTCAGCTGTGGCCGATGGGCACTGACCAGTCAATGAACTCAGGGTCTGGAAGAGTCAGCGGCTTTTCCAACCTCTTTGCCAAATGGGATGTCAGCACAGGGGCGGGGGTGGGGGGCAGCCCGGGGAAGGTGGCAATGACTTCATGACAACTGGCTGCCGAGCTGCTGGGGGAGGGGGCAGGGAGCCGGGGCCTGGGGATCCACGCTGGGCGGGGAGGCAGCCCAGCCACAGCTCACGCTTCCTGGGGACCCCTTGGTTCCCTTTGTGGGGGCTGTGGTTATGCCAGGTGCCCGGGGAGGTGGGGGGCTCTCGAGGACTGAGCACTCTCCAGGGGATTCCCCACGCAATGCCATATAAGCTCAGGGCAACCCCACGAGCTAAGGGCTCTTATCTCTATTTTGCAGATGAGGAAACCGAGGCGCAGAGAGGCAAAGGGATGTGTCGAAAGCCACACAGCTGGAGCAAGTGGTGGAACTGGCCTGGGAACATGGGTTGGTGTGTTTTCCCTCCACCCCACAGCGACATGGTGGGGGTGGGGGTGGGGGTGGGGAGTTGGCAGAGGCAGCCCTTTAAAAACTGCAGTAGGGCCACCACAAGTAAACAGAAGCCTTGACAGCTGTCGGGCCCTCTCTCCAAGCACAAGGCGGAGGCTGGCCCTGTTTCCAGCAGAAGGCCTTGGTCCGGCCGGCTGCCTTGACTCAGAGGACTCAGGCTCGCGTTGCTCCTTTGTGGGCTGGAGGGGCCCCGAGATCACAGACCCCGGAGTGGGTGTGAGCACCGTCTCTGCACCCAGAAGCTGAGATCAGCTTTTGGGCTGCTCTTTCTTCAGTCATTTACTGGTTTCCCATGATTATAATAACTACCCCTGCTGAGCTTTATAGTTCACAAAGTACTTTCACAAACACTCTTTCATTTACTCCTCACATCAGCCCTGTGATGAGGAGTTAATATGACCATTTTATGGAAACAGAAACTGGAGTTCAGGGAGGGAGGTTCCGGGAATGGCCTCAGATCAGAAGGCCAGCAGTGGCCCTCACGCCAGCATTCCCGAGCCCCGGGCCAGACCCGGCTCCTTCCTTCCACGGGGCAGCCTTCTCAGAGGAGTGCGGTGGCTTCTGGAGGGGCCGGCCTATCTCAGTCTGCCAGCAGTGACCAGACAATCTGCTCTCATCATCTGGGAGCTGGGTGAAGACCCCTCCCCACCCTCACCTCCTGCAAATATTGTGTGTTGGGGGTGGGGGGGACACAAAGAAGTAGAAGTGACTGCTGAGTGAGGGAGCTGGAGAGAGTACTGGGGAGGGGTCCCCCGCTGCCTTGGCCTTGGGCCCCGCAGATGCATGGAAGGGACCAGCAGTTCCTGGAACACGAGCCCATCGCCGGGGTGCCCAGTGCCAGCTGTTGCCATCTGCTTGTGGCAAAACGAGAAAAATAGGACAATACAGTGAAGTTTTCCTAAAGCTAGACCTACTCGATCTGAAGTACGGCCCTTTCCCTGGAGCTGTGTATTTTCAGGGTCTGTGCATGTGTGTGTTTAAAAAGGACCTTTTCTTTGACATTTTCTTTAATGTCCTTAACCGAGCAAAATAAAAGACTAGTGACCATGTCAGATCCTAAATCGGCTTTTTGGAAATGTTAGTGACTAAGGAATCCGAATGCCTGGGAATCACGGAGCTGGCCCTGATTCGGTGAGCCCTGGCACGGAGGACTTGTTTTTGAATTCAGGGATGATCTCTGAACAGCTGGAAAAACCCCGGGGGAGGAGAGGTTGGGGTTCCTGCCTGGACTCAGCCCCTCAGCCCTGGATCCCCAGGAAACCTGAGCAGAGGGAACATTAGAGTCACTGCACAGGGAATTCTGAGAAAGGCCTCGGGCTGATTCTCCGTGCTGCACCCCCTCAGCCTCTTCTCTGACCCCCAGCCAGAGGGAATGTACCCTCCAACCTCAGCCCTGCCTCCCCCAGCCCCCCAAGGCTGGATCCAAAATAGCCCAGGCCCCGGAGGAGACGTCATGGGTCAGACTGGCTGCCTGCCCTCAGAGAGGGCATGTCGGTAATGCCCAAGGCCAAATATAGAGGGACACCAGACACCGCTGGGCCACCCAGGGCCTGGGGAGCCCGGCTGGCATCTCAGGGCCTCCCCCACCCTCATCCCTTCCCAGCCCTGCACCCCCAACCCGGGCTCCGGAGGCCAGCGCCTCCTGGCCAGGCCCACCCAGCCAGGACATGTCCCAGCAAGCCCAGAGCCGAGCTGGAGGCTGGCCCGACGGGGTGCTGGGCCTGGGCTGGGCCTGGGCGTGGGGACACCCCTCCATCTGGGGGTCTCAAAGCACTTTTATAAGCGTCACTTCCCACAGGCTGCTGCCGAGATCAGGAGGCCAAGAGGACCTGGTGTCTCCGGGGGGCCGGCTCCTGCCTCTGTTCCTCCCAGCTCGGGAAGGAGACCAGGCCGTAAACCTGCGGCGTGGGAGGCTTGGGAGGCGGGGGGCGGGCAGGCGGCCAGGTCTAACCCGAGTGAACTCCCGGTGGAATCGAACTGCAAATAATGAGTCCTGATTGCCGAGGTGGCCTCCACCCGCCACTCCCGGGAATTAAAAGTCAAAGGGCAGAGCTGCTGACGCAAATGTCAAGGGAGACACGCGGTGTGGAACAGCTGGGATCCTGCTCCCCGGCCTGCCGCCCAAGGTCGCCGCCCCCAGCGCCCTGGATCCGGCGTCCCCCAGGCTGGGCCCCGAGAGGCCCCAGTTCCCCAGGCGCAGCAGGGAAGGGGGCTCGGCTTCCTCTCCCTCCTCCTGGTTCTAAGGTCAACAGAACTCGATTGGAGGAGGTTCATCAGAAATCCCCGTGCAACGGCGTTGCCGGACGCCTGCGGACGCGGAGAGGCAGCAGCTCGAGTCCTCTGGGCCTTCCCCGCCTCCCCCGCCAACAAGGGGGAGGAAACTTCTGCCGACGGGGGCGCGTGGCTCGCTAACACCTGCTGTGTCCCCTAGGTCGTCCCAGGGCCGGCACACCGTGGGCAGCTGCACCGTGGTCTGTGCACCAGTGGTGACCCCCAGCGGTCAGTGTGGGACTTGACCTTGGACCCAGCACTGAAGCCTCCGCCAGGCCAGGGGCTGGGAAACCCCGGGGGCGCCAGGTTTGGAGATTTGATCTTGGAAGGGAGGTGTTGGCGTTCGGAGGTGTTGGCGTTCGGAGGTGTTTTTCTCTGTGCTGAATTTTCCTAATCGCCCTGTGGCTGGATCTCAGCCTGTGTCCCACTGTGAGCCAGTCAGCCTCAACATGTCTAAGAGGCGCATCATCACTGAGCCCCTACCGGCTCTTACTCCTGACTTCCCTATTTCTATTAATAGCACCACTACCCTCCCAGTCCCTCAGGCTCCAAACCTCCGTGTCATTGTCCACATCTCCCCACACTGGGCTGGCTGACCGGTCCTGCCCCTCCTCACCGTGCAGGTCATTCTTCCACCCCTCCCGCGATACTCATGGCCACTGCCCCAGTCAATGGACCTCTCTCTCACCTGAGCTACTGTCATCCTCGACAATGCCACTGGGTCAGACCTGGCTATGTGACCGGTCCCTTCCACTTACTGGCTGTGTGACCTTGGGCAAGCTACTTAACTTCTCTGAGCTCAACTTCCTCAGCTGTAAAATGAGGATAATAATTACAGTCCCTACCTCATAGAGCACTGCATGAATTGTGACGTATGTGAAGACCCTGACACATAGGAAATGCTCAGTGACTGTGAATTATTAGAGATCATCCATCCAATCCAACTCTTCCATTTTACAAACAAGGAAACTGAGGCTCAGAGAGCTGGAAGGAGAGCTAACGTCTGGCATGGTGTCTTTACAACTTGCTACAGGGGTCCAGCCGGGTGGCACAGTGGTTAAGTTCACACGTTCTGCTTCGGTGGCCTGGGGTTTGCCGGTTCGGATCCTGGGTGTGGGCCTACACACCATACTGTGGTAGGCATCCCACATATAAAGTAGAGGAAGATGGGCATGGATGTTAGCTCAGGGCCAGTCTTCCTCAGCAAAATGAGGCGGATTGGTGGCAGATGTTAGCCAGGGCTAATCTTCCTCAAAAATAGAATAAAATAAAAATAAAACTTGCTACAGAGCAGGGGGAGTGGAAGTTCCCGGAGTCTTGAAGCTCCTCCACCACTGCCCACATCATCGCGATCTGGAACCCAGATCCAAAGGCCCCCTGCTGAGTTCACGGGGCACACCCTCCTGCCTTCAGGGGCAGGCATGCTTGGGTGAGTGCTGAGGTCGCAAATACCTTCTGGGATGAGACAACTACAGGTGACGTCCAGCGGCTGTGAGTCAGGGAGACCCATCTGCAAGGTGACGAGTGAGGCTGGGCACTCGGGCCGCAGGGGTGCTGGGCATGCAGGGGTCGTGCCAGACGTCAGACATCCAAATAGGGTGGGCACCTCCTCCCGCAACAACCCCGCCCTCACACTCCTCCCCCAGCTCCCACTCACCCCCTCCAGTGCCCAGGCCTTCGCGTGGGGGTCCGTGGGGGCAGGGCAGGCTGCCTCCCGTCCAGATAGTCCAGGCGGACGTTCTGAACAGTCCCTCGTGAATGAGCACCTGGGGGCCATACGCTCTTTGAAACTGAAGGTGGGAGCCCTGTTCTGGGGACAGGTTCTCAAAGCGGACTTCTCTCCACAAAGAGAAGATGATCAAGAGCAGCAAGAGCAGATGATCCAGGTTCAAACGTGGGCCTGTCCTAGAGTCCTAGGACACCTCCTGTCTAAGCCAGAGGTTCTCAAACAGGTTTTGCTCCTGGGGACACCTGGCAATGCCTGGAGACATGTTTGGTTGTTATACTGGGAGGGAGGGTGTGCATGACCTACTGGCATCTAGTGGGGAGAGGCCAAGGGTGTTGCTAAATATCCTACAATGCACACAGCACAGACACACAACGAAGAACATTCCAGCCCCCGTGTCAGTAGTACAGCGGCCTCGAGGAGGAAGGGAGGCCGTGCCTGTGAAGAACCCGGGACTGGGCCTGGCTCATGCTCCGTGTTGGCAAGGGACCTTTCTTTTCTAAGGCCTTCTCTCAGCCTGGACACCCAAGCCGGTGGGCAGAGGTGGAGTGGGCATATACTCACATGAGAATTCTGAGAAATGATCTTGGTGTTTCTGCCACACCCAGCCTGGGGCAGAGTTTCTAGAAGAGTCTGGTGCTCACTCATGAACCCTTTCAACAAGGACAAAGCAGGCCCTGGAAGGAGCGGCCCGCCCTCGGGCTGCTCACCCTGCCACCTCCAGCAGGCCTCCCCGTGACCCATCCCCCACCCCTCTCACTTGCATTTGTGAGGGAGAGAGGGGAGAGGATGGGGCAGAAGCCCTCCTCTGAGCTCTCCTCAGACCCGCCGAGGCCGGGCAGGCAGGAGGACGTGCTAGCGGCAGCCCTGCACAGAGGCAGGGGACGGCTCCAGGGCACCTTCGAAGGTGTGTGAAGCTGAGTCAAGGAGCTGGCAAGCCCTCCTGCCACTCACCTCAGCGGGCAGCTGGTTCTCCTTCAGCCTCAGCAGCCGTGGGGTCAAGTGTCTGCTCTACAGAAGCTGGTCCCAGATAAGCCACCGCCTTCTTCCCTGGGATGGGGTGGTGTAGCCCCATCAGAACCCCCACACCCTGGCCCCTGAGCTCCGCTTTGCTGGTTTACCCAACTCAAGTAAAATGGATTATCGGATTACGGTCGGAGTGGGTGGAAGGGTCAGGTCGATCAACAGAGATGGGACTCTTAGACCCCTTTCTGACACTGCTCATTTGTGGGGTCTGGGGGATTGGGGCATTGCAATCACACCCTCTCCCCTCGGGTCTCAATTTCAGGCACGTGTTTAATGGGGCACACCACCTTCCAAACCTTCGGTGTGAGGCTGTGTGGGGGTGGGGCTTCTGTCTGCGTCTGGAAGCCCAGCTGACTTCACGACAAGCCCAGACACGCAGCTGTTTCTGAAACAGAAGCCGCAGCGGTGGGGGAAGCGCCAAGCGCCGAGGCTGGGGGCAGAGAGGAGACCCCCGGACACCAGACTGATGTGTACAGTTAACAGGGCCTAACCAAAGGGTCTGCACTGCGTCTCCAGGTGGGAGCTGCCTCCTGCCATGGGAGTCTTCTCTGGGGAAACATTTTTGTCTTGATTGGAAATTTCTTCCTGATGTGTGACATGTGACCTCCACCTCTTCTTCTAGAGCTTGGCTCTGCTGCCAGGCTGAGGCTGCCCACCTCCCCCGAAGTCCCCTCCCCTCCAATACTCTGTTCCTTCCCAGGGATGCTCAGAGGCTGCAGGGCATCTTGCCTTATGCTGGTCCTCCCCTGCAGGGACGCCAAAGCTGGGGGAGGGGCACCTGGGCCTGTCTGGCTTCCTGCCCAAGGTATGATCCTGGTGTGAAAGTTCTGGGCCCAGGCCCCTAAGGAGGGTTCCTCCCAAGCACCCTCATCCCTCTGGTCCCTCCAGCTTTCTCCTCATCTCCCGATGCCACAAATCTTCTGATGCCCTCCCTTCCCCACCACGCTTCTCCCCTAGGCCCTGCCCTTCCTCAGCCAGCTTTACCCTGGGCAATCCCAGATGGGGGCATCTGGCCCGTGGCTTTGCACAGGAGGCGGG